GGGATCAATTAGGGTTAGAGCTAAAGTCTGCAGGAAGGTAAAGCTCCAGGAGCAGGGTTGGTGACCACCATTTTAGGGGATAGTCTAAATAATTCTTGTAATGAATGAATGGTTCTCAACATTTTTGTCACACAGACATTTTTATGCATGTAGTAAAGTGTTTCAGCTTTAACTTTCATATAAATTCCCCAAGATTAGGATGTGCTAAGTTTTAAATAACAGCACATAAACATTTGAAAGAAGGTGAGTACCTTCACTTGGCCTGTACACACTTAGCACGATTTTTTTTCACACAGAAGTGTGATTTTTAGCATGGTGGAAGCTCCAAACCAAATCTAATGTACTTTTACAGGAAGAAGAAAGGAAAAAAGGGTTCCTCTTGTAGTAGCAACCAAAGGTGGCATCACACCTCCAAAAGTGGTGGGGCAAAACTGTTTCCAATGTGGCAAGCTGAGAGACGACAAAATGCAATTAGGCCACTACATTCAACTGCTTTTAATGTCGTGCTAAAAATATGTCTCTATAGATCTGTTTATGAACAGAGTCAGAGTTAATTTTTGTTTTGACTCTGTACTTCACTGGGTTCAGAGAGCAAACTCTGCTAGCTAACATCTCTGAACAGCGTCAGGCTGTTTTCAAACCCAGCTCATTTTCTGAAGTCTGCACCAATTTTGCAGGGAAGCTGATGTGCACTGAGGAAAATGTGCTCTGGTGCTTAATTCTCTCATGAATTAACACAGTTCAGTTCTTTGATGTGGACCTGAATATGGTTAAAGTGTTCACACGCTAAAACAGACTGGAAAAAAAAAATGACAGGTTCACTCAGAAGCAAGAAATATTAAAACTGACATTTAGTAAGTTCACACCGTGCAGTAAACTGTGGCACTGTGTATTAGTTCATGTACTGCAGTAAAAGCATTTTTTTACAGTTAGTGAGCTGCAGCTCCTCTCACTGAAAACAAACTCATGAAGGCTTTAGTGTTTGGGAAATGTCCCGCCCCCAGCTGAAATGAGGATTCTGATTGCTTTTGCCTCTAGATTTGACTCTCTGTCTGTTCATGCCAGTCACGGCTCTACGCACTTTCAAGAAAGCAAAGGTTTTATATTTTTGTAAACATCCTGAGCTCAGTCAAATATTGGTGGGTCATCACCCCAGTACTTTAAAAATTGGTGGGTCAAATGCCCGCTCACTCGCCATGGTTCTGGCGGTCCTGGTACCAACGATAAATATATAATTAAGCAATGAGCCCCTTGAGGGCACGCATTACTGTGATTGTATCATGGGGAAGGGGGTTTTGTCATTCCGCCTTACGTTGTGCCTAAGAGCAACCTTTCCCATGATATAATTACAGCAACACGCACCCCTGAGGGGCTTATTGCTTTTATAAAATGTCAGACAGCATAAAGTATGAAAAATACACAATGTTACAGTGAATAATTTAAGTTTTTATTATTAATAATCAACATAAATATTCTACCAAGAAATGTAGTTCTTTTAGAGTATGGTATCGTTGCCAAGCAACCATAGACTGCTGAATGAGAAGTAGGTTCGGTTGCCCGTCAGTGTATATTGTGCTCGTTTCATGAACATTTTAACTTTCTGCTGTGTAATAATAAACATATGATAACACTGTTGAATGCAGAAACATTTGCTATAAGTACATATAAGTAATCCTATCCTATCTAATCTGGTCTAGATCTTATCTAATATAGTATCTAATGCAATGGCACCCCTGTTCCCATGCTGGGGCTGAATCTCAAATGCCTCCCTGTTCCCTAGTGCACTTCCAGCTCCTGCACTCCAGGAGTGCATAATGTAACTAAACAATAGTCATTCAGGATTCAGCCACATCTATACTTTACAAATAGTGACTATTTGGCTGTAGAATTTTAATACTCGCATAGTACAGTATTTAGGGAGTACATAGCCATGCAGATCTGACTAAAACAAAGACATTTGAAGCATGTAAGCCATTCAAGTGACATTCTTTAGTCTTCGTATTGCTGTTTTACAGTGAAATTTAAAGAAGTCTATGATATTAATGATGGAGTTGTTTAGCATGTTTGCTATCTTTTAGTCTATTAGCTAGCTGACCAGTCTAGTTCTAGGTAAGAAAATAAGTTGTCAGCCCCTTAGTTTAAACAAAGTCAGGTTCTTACTTCATCAATACACTTGGTGGGCCTTGCAAGCGGCATTAGAGTCAAAAAGTATTCCATTACCAGCACAAGGATTTTTCGTGACGTGGTGCAGAAATACAGAATTCAGTTGTTGTGAGGCATTTGGTTTATGTATATTGTCCTACAACAGCTTCAAGTGCGGCTCAGCCAATCAGATTTGAGGACGAGAAGTGTCTGTTTTATAATGCAACTAAAAGGTGCACAGACTAGGTACAAACATTCTACAGTAACAACTGGGCATAAACAGGCTAGAATTTATCTAGATAAACAAAAAAATACTATTTACAGTCATTTTATTGTACTGAGGCACAGGCTCCCAATCTTAGTCCTAGAATATCCCCTGTCTTGCACATTTTTGCGTTTTCCCACTCTAACACAACCACTTCAACTCAGGAAGGCTTGTGAGCTGATAGACTGGATCAGAAGTGTTGAGAGCAGAGAAAACACTAAAATGTAAAATGTGCAGGGCAGCCAATACTCCAGGACCAAGGCTGGTAACCACTGTACAGAGGTACTCACCATCATTCCCCAGTCTTTCAGCTGTACCTTTATTTTCTTTAACCTTCACATTTTTATCATCAGTGTGTTGCATACGTTTTTGTGCTTTGCTACAAACAAGCTGAGCTGTACTGCCTCCATCATGATGCACATTTGTTTGGACTGCAACCATGACAATTGAGCCCTGATTGGTCAGTCTGATTTTTAATGCATCCAGACAACGCAGAAATCAAGCTGGCTCTGATTGAAAATTTTACACAGCATCACAGTCAGTATTGAACTTCATGTGAAAGATAAAGTTAATATAGGTTTGTTCATTTATAAATGTTTTTTTTGTGCTTAAAAATCAAAGTGTGGATAGGATTTTGCACCATCATTTATTACACAGTTTGTGTCTTGTATACGCTCCCTGACTCAAATGCAAATGACAAATGCACATTTGTGCTTAGATGTGAATTTGCTGTTTAAAATGAAATGGGAATGCAGCACAGCTGAGTGAGCCTGCTCGTTTTTGGCGTGTATGTTTTTCATGCGGACCTTCAAATGTGTTGAAAATTCCATTCCTTTCGATGGTGGTATGACTATGAATGCTCCCACTTGACGAAACGGCAAGCAATTTTACTCTGATAGCCCACTTTTGTCTCTTTTCCATCTGTTTTTCTCCATTGATATTCACAAAGCTGCTTCTGCTTCTGCAGCTTTAAAGCTAGAGCCTCCTAAGATGGTATGAAGATTTAGACTAATGGCCTATTGCTGGTTTTGCCCTCTACCTTTGGATAACCTGTCTTTCTTTTTCTCCTAGCAAGAATAAAAACCCAATAGGTGTATGGTTTAACCCTTTTTTCCACAGTAGCCATATGTGGAATATATTTCAAAGGACATGTCGTTTACTATATATAGTTTATAGATGTACCAAAACTGGAAGTGAAATGGATTTATGTCCATGAAGATGATCAAACTAGTCAATGTTCATTTAAAAAAAAACGTGTTATATTTTTGTTTTTTTGTACAAACTTTAATGAGGAAATCTGCACTTGTGCTGTTTATTTTATCTCAGCACGGCTGTCTTTGTGGAGAGGTGTGAATTGTGTTCATAGCAAGGGGCGTCTCACCCCTCCCCTTTCACCCCTCATTGCTTGCCAGACACAGTTTCCCAGTTAACATGATAACAGAGTTATATGAAAAATATTTTATTTCATCATATTCATTAAAAATAAACATTGATTTCCATTCGGCCACTGGAATGGCCACAAGTAGACCTGCAGAAAGAGGTTAAGGCTCGTGCTTCCTTCCTCTGCGCTGTCCCATTCCCCACAGACCTTCATTCATTTTGCTAACTTTTACATTTTTGCACTTAAGATGCATATATTGATTTTTTGTGCCCCCCCACATTTTCTTTTTCATCACTCTAACCCATTAAGATCTCGTCTTTGCTTTGCTGCAGCTCTTTCAGCATTCAAGCTATGGCCACTACCCTGTATATTTTTTCTTTTCTTTTTTTCTCTATTAGTTGTGATCGCACGATCTGTTGTTGCGGACCCCAGGAACAATAGCTGCTGTAGGAGCAGCAGCTAATGGGGAGCCTAATACAGGATAAGGATAAGGAATATCATTTCACCCTTTCATTACATTAAGATTTGTGGCAACTCCTACTGTTGTTTCAGCTTTGGTAGACTCAACAAATGCTTCACTTTCGCTTCAGGCCAGTTAAGCTTTAAAATATTAAACACAGTGAAATAGCTAGAGTAAATTTTGAGTCAGCTTTGTTAATATAAACCTTCACTTGTAATAAAAGTAAAGCCCAGCTGTGAAATTAAGGAATTTCCTGTCACTAAAGTTCATTTTCTTCATGAAAGATTGTGTCTTCTGATTGCTGGGAATGAAAATGCATTGTAATATACACAATTCCACCACATAGCAAAGCAGTGGTTCATCAGAATGCAGGTCCTTCATTCAGAATGTTGAAAAGAGACATGCGGGAGCTAACGCTCATTCCTTCCGACCTTGGGAGCCCATAGCAACCTTTTAAATTCAAGATACACAGAGAAGAAGGGGATCTGTGAGAGAAATAGGAAAAAAAAACAGTTTTCAGTGAGGAGCTGTGAACGAAAACCGAGGAGGTAAAGTTAAAATGCTGCAACGCCCATACCAATACAGGATCATATGTCATGCTTTCCTTCTTTTGAGCTGTTTGTCACTGCCTTTTTTTCTTGTTTTTTTTTTCCTAGGGCTCACCTCTTTGGAGAACAAAGCTGTTTGGCCTCAGAGACAGACCTCTGTTCATCTCTTTTGGGAAAAAAAGATTGAAAATCCTGTGGAATCGAAGGATCTGGGATTTTTGATCCATTTGTAACCTTTGAACCTCACCTAAGAGGTGTCATCTTGGATGGAGAGAGACACAACATGTGCTAGACGATCCTTCTTCTTTACCTTCTTGATTGATGTAACAATGGATCTCAAAAGACACCGTAACCTCCAAGGACTCTTCTACTGATCACCTCCTAATTTGCTGAGAGACTCTTCCGAATTAAAAACGAAAGTAAAACTGGAAATGTCTCCTCACTTGGTCGACGTGGGTGGGAGAACCGTCCGTGTTGGTTTATCTTCGCTGATTCTTCTCACTTTCTTCTTGGTCACATTGGCAGCAAGACCCAAAGGCCCAGGCCATACACACCTGAACTCTATCCGCATTGATGGAGACATCTCTCTGGGGGGTCTGTTCCCAGTTCATGCCCGGGGCCACAACGGAAAGCCATGTGGGGAGCTGAAAAAGGAGAAGGGCATTCATCGTCTGGAGGCCATGCTCTTCGCTCTGGACTGCATCAACAACGATCATGAGCTGCTTCCCAACATCACTCTGGGGGCCCGAATTCTGGACACCTGCTCGCGGGACACTCACGCTCTTGAGCAGTCTCTCACTTTTGTCCAGGCGCTTATAGAGAAGGACGGGACAGATGTGAAGTGTCAAGGTGGTGGATCGCCCATCATCACCAAGCCGGAGAGAGTTGTAGGTGTGATCGGCGCGTCCTCCAGCTCGGTGTCCATCATGGTGGCCAACATCCTTCGCCTGTTTAAGGTAAGCACCATGCTGGGGTGCTGCTGTGCACCTTGAACTGACTTGATCACTTAAGTGGCTGGTAGACTGGAAGATTAGGTCTCCGACATGCTTTCATTACCTTTACATAGTAATCACATTATAATTGCATTCTAATTGAATGCTTCCTTTACTCATTTCAGCCTGACCAGATTGTCATAACCACATAATTACACAGCTAATACAATGATTAACTGAACATGGATGGCACATTGGATATTAAATAACCCTCTGCATGAATTCAGCTCTTTAAAGTTAATGCCACAGATAATGCATTTTCTATGTTCATGCTGTGTTGTGATCGTGTGAATGCAGAGCAGTTCAGATGCTGATAGGACACAACTGTAACTGCTCCCGTTAACTCGACCGACGCTGTTTGATTTCTTTGCAAATTCAAAATGAACAAGTGTCTCTTGTTAATATTTATCCATCTTTTTCATTTTGCCGCATAATTTCATCTCCATTTTAACACGCTTTTCTTCATCATTCTGAGATGTTGAATTAGCTGGTGGCTTTTCCATTTTCAAAGATCCAGCGTTTTCCCCACATATGTGCTCTTTGTTATGAAGGGTAATATTTCAGTTTGATGAATGTTAAACAGCACACTTTTGGTGAACACTAGAGGGGAAAAAAATATGAATATGCAAATGAGCAGTGAATTCAGCCAACACACAAAAAACAGACACTGAGGACAAAAAGAAATGAACAAACATCATATACAAAGCCTCGCTTCTTCACATAAAGTGTGTCTTTTGGGCCTGACTCAGTATGAATAATATTTAAAGGGCCCGTATCATGGAAAAACAAATTTCCGCACTTTTTTTTTTTGATTTAGTATGTAAACACGGTTAAAGTTTCAAAACGTACCATTCACTCCTCAGTTCATGTAGCCCATATATGGAAACTGAGCTGTGAAAATGGCCCTGTATTAAATTTCTTGTTTTTGTGATATCACTAAAACCAATTTTACATGTGTCCACCTATTCAGTCTACAGCAATTTAGCCCCGCCCATTCACACTGTAGCTATGAGGAGTGTTTCAGGCCAGACACATTTTTGAATGATGTAGTCAATCAAAACAGAACATGTCCACTCCACTTTTTAAACAAGATCATTTTTTGGGTCACGGGATAGTATATAACTGAGTTGCAAAAGAGTTTCAGATATTAGTTACTATAGAGCTGTCAAATGAAGTTTAAACCTAATTAAAAAAAATAAAAAATTATTTTAGTTATAGTCATTAATGACAAAAAGAAAGATGCACTAAGCTGCCCTGAAATCATTTTCAGCACTACTGTACTGTGATCATTATTATCAGTTATTAATAACTTTTTTTGTATTTGCTGAAGGATTCATTGAAACACTGCAACACACAAAGTAAAGCACATTACAAGCCTCAAAAGATTTTAAACAGGTGGTGCCATCAGTAGTATTTTACCTAACGTGGGAAAGTTAATGTACACCACTGTTAGTTTGGCACTAACTTAAAACTGCATATCCCATAGAGTGCTAGCAGAATCAGCATTAATGTAGTGTAGTGATGTTACAAAGTGAAGGTTTCTAGTGGTTAATGTTAGAACCAGTGAGGGAGCAAATTACAATAATAGCACTCTACTACTTGCCTCTCACTCTCCATGCCTTCGCTCCACAGTAGCTTCACGCTGACTGTAATGTCAGAGGCGGTTTCAGGCGGGGAGCCTGATGGGTGCTTGGATTGCTGTAATGTAATTTAAGTTTTAAAGTGAGAGTGGTGGTTAAGGAAAGCACATTGTAGTAATAACTCTGGGCTGGACAACTTGTTTGAGGCTGGCCTCTGAATATTCAGGACTTAAGCCCCACAAGTGCAGCCCTAACAACAGCCGTAGTGAGAATTAAAATTATGGAAAGCCCATGGCGTAAATAAATGTATTTGTCTCACTTCACACTTTGCAAGTTGGAACTGACTTCTTTGGCACTAATAAATATGTTATTAAATTGACTTATAATGTATTATGTTAGCAATTTGTAATGCATAATAAACATGGCTATAAAGTGTAATTCATTTTTATAATATATACAGCCATGTTTATAATCCCTCATGAAAGCAATATAACATGTTATAAATGTGTTTATAGATGTTCAAAGACATGGTATTCATAGAAAGTGTTACCACAGTTTTTTATCTGTGTAAATGGGCTTCCATAATTAGAGGAGGTTTAAAAAAAAGTCCTGAACAAATGAATCATGACTTTCTAAAATCCACACAAATATCAGACGTGGACCCCAGAGGATAAAGGTAAAATGTAGTACTGGCCATTTAAAATTAAAATACGGCAATCTATCATGCAGCCCAATAATCCATTAATAATCCAACGAATAGCTCAGAATAGAATACGACCATGTATAGACCTCAATCAGAATAGACTAGTCTGCTTGAGGCCATTCAGACTACAATTTCTATCCAATTGAACGAGGTGGGTAATCCTGTAAATAATCCGTTAAATAGAAGAATAATAACCATGTAAATACTTGCATCCGATTACATTCCCAATCAGAAAGTTTAAGTACGTTCTGTGCATGTGTGTCACGTCATAATGAAAGTTTATAACGTTCAACATGGCAGGAGCAGAAACTGGTCTGCAGAGGAGACGAAGTTTAAACTTTGAACTTTAAAAGACGGGACGGGAGTCCAGTTTATATGTCTCAGAACACAACGTCTTCCTCTCGCTCCTCTTTAATAAGTACATGTGAAGTATGTTTTCCTGAGTCTGATATCATTTTAAAGGCTGCTTACTGCTGCTCATCTCACTCTGACTGGACTCTGCCCGTTGTCATGGTAACGTCTACACTAAGTGGTATTCTACATGTGCACATAATAATTTTGGATCAGATTACTTATAGTGTGCATGTAAACAGAGATTTTCTATCAGATTGTTGAGTAGAGTGAGCATCTGAACACCCCACTTTTAATTTATAATCGGAATGTATTCAATCGAATTGGCAAAAAAACTTTGCATGTAAACACATAAAGTGTTAACTAGCAAATAAAGTGAAGACACCCTGTGTTAAGTAGTCGAAAGAGTATTAGGATGACCCTGAATTTAGCTTGCTCTGAGATTTGGATCCTAATGGTCAATAAGTTTAGAGCGAGCTGCACTGCTGATGCCATTCGGGAATGCTGATTTGAGAAGAGAAAATTAGGTAGCTACACGTTTATTTATTCATTTGGCTGGCCAGAAATGTTTGGAATCATTTAAAACCTCTCCTTCTGGAACCACATCTGTCATTGGGTTTATTGCCCCCCACCCAAAAAAACAAAAAGATCATAGACCATAGATGCCTCTCAGATTTTCAGAGGGCTCTGCTTGGTTACATAACCAAATTTTGTTTGCAGTCGAGGATCAGAATTGCACCTGTTCACAGTACAGGTCTATGAATAATGGACGAATCTCTACTTAACTGCAAATACTATCTCCTGCTGGCCTAGAGTCAGCGCTCTTGATCTGCACACGCTCCACAGCCCGGGCTACCCAGAGACAGCTGCTCACTGTTAAATGGATATTTACTCAGCTACGCAGTGCCATTCATCAGAGGGAGCGGTGTGATCAAAGACAGATCACAGGCAGGGGGGAATGTGGCGGCATTGTTGCGGTGATGACAGGCCTTGGGCGCAAATGCTGCGATAAGCACATTTAAAGCTCACAGCTAAAACACTGACATTGCTGAGAGGAAGTAGGCAGAGAAGTCGAGACCCGGAACTAGGAGACATGCTGCCTCCATGTGTTTGTGTTCATAATCAGAACCTGCATTTTTATTGAGCTTGAACCGGAAGTGGAAGCGGTGGATGTGATGTACAATAGAAACTGTGGGTGTTCCATAATAGAAGTGTTTGTAATGCATCATTAATGGATGAGAGTACATTTTGAAAGACTAGAAGAACAAGGGGTGGCTACTTGAGGCAGGTTCTTTGTTTGTGTCTTGCTTGCTTATTGGCTAATGCCATTGGGCTAATGCAGGAAGAATCCAGATAACTAACAATACTGCCAGGAGACCAAATATGTTTTTGCAGTTGAATAACTTCAAATCATCATTACAGTGGAGAGCATGGATCACTTAAGCACCAGAAATTACTCTGCATTAAGGAGGACAGCTAGGTGAATGTGGCCTCTTGCATTCTGATTGGCTAGTTGCATTTTCCCTCTTGCATTCTGATTGACTTGGTGGGTTTTACCTTCTGCACTCCGTCTTGTTCAATTTTGCTTCCTGCTATTTGACTGCTTGGTTGAATTTCCCTTCATGCTATCTGGTTGTTTAGTTGAATTTCCCATAATGCTTGAGTTTTCCATCTATTACCTGATTGGCTAGTTTAATTTTGCCTCCTGTACTCTGATTGGCTAACTGAAATTTTCCTCCTGCACTCTGATTGGTTAGTTGCATCTACAATCCTGGAATCCGATTGTCTACTTCAATTTTGCTTCTTGCACTCTGATGGGCCCTTTGAATGTTCTGTACTGTGCTCTGATGGGCCAGTTGAATGTTCTCTCCTGTTCTCTGTATGGCTGGTTAAATGTTCAGTCCTGTAGTATAATTGGCTGCTTGAAGTCCCCTACGCTCTGACTGGGTAGTTGAATTATCAGTGCTACAATCTAACTGACTAGTTGAAATTTTCCTACTTCACTCTGATTGACTACATGGATTTTGCCACCTGCTATCTGGTTTGCTAGTTGAATTTTCCCTTCTGTTCTCTGATTGGCTGGATGAATTTCCTCTCCAGCAATCTAATCAGGCAAAGCTACTAATAAAGTAATTGATGTGATTTAAAAGGCTTGTCTGACAGACATTTAGAACACTTTTTTTCCGTCTTATGAGGAACAAGAAAAGGTTTTCACAGAATTAAATGTAAAGCCATTATTTTAATTCATCCTCGTAGATTTTAGTAGAGAATATTTTTAATTGCCTCATCGTGAGAGCTCATCTCACAGTAAAATCACCAGCATTTAATGA